TAATGGAATAAATGGAGATTAAAATTTAGAAAACTTTTTTCAAATAGTTGAAGTATTCAGTTAAAAATGTTTGTCCTTATTCCAGGATTATACGTATTACTTTTAAAAATCCTTTTGCATATTTTTTTTAGATTGTTATTCTCTATATTTTTAAAATTCTTCAAACGTATAACCATATGTATTAGGTTTTAAAGCGTTAACTATGAGTAGTGATAATCATGTTTTTAAAATTTTATTTTTTGAGTGATATATTCATATTTTTGATAAAAGCATAGCGTACATCCTTGTCTGTCAATTTTCGAATCAATTATATTTTTTGATATGGGACTTTTATATTTTACAAAGGACGAATATGTATTAAGAAGGTTCTTTCGCCGTAAACTGAAGAATTGTTTTGCAAAAATAGAGATGAATTTTCTATGAGTAGACTGACTGATAAATAAATAGCATTATTCGTCCATATTTTTCCAATATAATTCTTTATTTTCGATGGAAATTCGACCTTGTTGATATTCGTCTTTTGTACTTAGATATTTATACATTTTTTAAATACTGCAAAAGTTTATATCCAATTTATTCTAACGTAACATATGAGAACATCAACTTTTTGACCAAATTTACTGTAGTTATGTATAATGTATATTTATATCGTAAATTGCTTGAACTATATTAAACTTCCTATGCTGATTTTGTTTAAAAATATAGACATACCTTTGTACTTAAGTATGTTATGCAGAGTTACAAGCATAGAAATGTTTATCAGTTATCTCACGATAATATACTGTTAGTGTTTGTTCCTTCAACTATATAAAATAGTTATCCAGTATCTATTGTTATATCTATCTGTAGCTATATATTAAGCAGCATTTTGTGCCTAATAATAAAGATAATTTATTCAAAAAGCGTCAATTATTATATGCCTATAAACAATTGCTAAAACTGTTTTCAATTTTAACTAGGAATTCTTCGTACGCATGTGCAACTTCTTAATTAACAAAGAGTAATTTTATGTTCTTTAATTGGTTTACACGAATATTTTGTCTGGGCCCTACATGTGTAGGAAGTAATTTACAGTTTTAGAATTACATGTATTCTAGGTTTTACTTGCGATTTCGCTTACGCTGATGTCCTTAAATCGTGTCAAGGATCACCAGCGTCCATATAAAACTAATTTTTATATCCCTCTGGAACAGTATTTTTTTCTGGATAAAGGTACCCTACGTCCTTTGCTGTACCCCTGACAATGTGTGTACAAAATTTCATGATACGTTTTATTCGCGGCTTAGCTCTCGTTGTTGTCCTTAATACTGATGTGAAATCTAAGCATTCTGTGTACGCAGTTTAATTTTTTGATTTTTAAAATGACAGATTTGTATCGTGATAATACAAATGAATAAAAAAGGAATAATGAAGACAAGGAATAACATTGCGGACGTAGCAATTGATAGATATGAAAAATCTAAAATGTTTCTGCTGGTACTTTTCTTTGTAAGTTAATAATGTAACCCATGTATTTTGAAAACCGTTTTATGTCTCAACTAACTTATTAAAAGTGGTGTTTCAGATGTCTGGTTTGGCAATGATTTTTGCAGGATTTTGGGCTGAATTGAAATTGAATCGTTTTTTACAGTTTACTACTAAGCATTCTTATGCTCCGTCGTATGTTTTAATTGGTACAGGTATAATTGTTATTTTTGCGGGGTTTTTCGCATGTTGTTGGTCTAGCGATAAAGGGAATCCTGTTATTATGTATGCTGTAAGTTAAGTTGAAAAAATACCGGTTTTGTGTACTATATTACATACAAAGAAGACTAAATGAGTCATCTTCTTTTATCATTATTATTTTAAAAGTTTTAAAATCGAGATAAGGTAAATTATCGTGACCGATAGTATATAGAAATGCATTAATCAGCTGGAAGTAAAATCAAATTAATTGCGGTTCGTTATGGATAATTATTTTATAGAGAATGATGGAATAAATGGCCGATTTTAATGTCAAATAACTCGTTGGTTTCTAATTATATTTCACATTAAATTATACAAAATCGATCTAAAAACAATGCTCTTTTCGAGCACCAAAAAGCTCAACGCGAAATCACAACACGGAATGTCCGAAATACTTTTCATTAACAAAGTTACCTTTTTTAAGTTACGACGATTGGTAGTAAGATAAACAAGTGAGCTTAATCGGTTTCTTTTAATAAACATACTTTCAAAACTCTTAAGCAAGTAATTATTAAAAATATCTATAACTAATTTAAAATTTTCGATATTGATTTGATGATTTTCTGTAAGACAGCACTGTATTTTTCAGTTCTATCAAACCTGTCATGAACCAAATGCTCTTTGAATCTAACATGCTTAGAGCGGTTGGTTTGTCCAATATATTTCATATATTTCCCCGGCTTTTCTAGAAAAGAAATTTTATCCTTAGGGTTACCAATAACAGTTTTAAAAGGGTTCAAGTTCAAGCGAATTATGTATACGCCATTCGAAAAACAATTTTACAAAAATTTCCGTTGGGTTCTCGAGTCATGACTTGCATGGAATAGTAAAAAACTTGGTTTTGATGATCTCTATCTAATTTTGTCACTGAAAAGTACTTGTGACTTAATTTTTTAGAGTTCTGCAACACTGCTAAATTTTTCCAGTCCTTTAGAATGCTCTCTTCGATATGTAATTCTGTAATTGATAACAATTACAAAGTACATTGGTTTCATTGTTTTCTTTTTGCCCATTTTTTTGGTAATATGATAACTTATAATTAATTGACTTAGATTTTTTTGGACATAATAATTGCACAGAAATTTCATGTAATTGAACAAGTGTTTACGTGAATTGTCTACGATTTTCAATCTTCACGTCTATTCGTTGGCGTCCCCTTTTCAATTAATTTTATCAATTATGCACCAAAGGAAGTATTGTTTTAATCGATCTATGCAATATCTTTTTGATGTGAGTGATGATCAGAAACTAATAAGTTGTTTAGTTGTTGCCCAATTGTTCTATCTATCGCAACCTTTTTCTACAATTTTAGTGCAGTGTTTCACTGTTTTTGGTAGTGGTAATTGAAGTTAGTGCGGCTGTAGCGATGCTGGTTTTTCGTAAATCATGGATAGAAAATTTTGATGCGGGAATGAAAGACGCTATTACGAAATATAAGAAATTTACACCATATTTTGATACGGAAGTTGATTCCTTTCAAATTGCTGTAAGTAAGTAATTGAAAGGTACAATATTACTTGTCCTTAGAGTCGCTCAGTTAATGATTATAAGAACAAATTTATCAAAGTTACATTTGCATATATTTGAACTGATCAGTAATTTGAACTACATTGGAATATTTAATAAATTCTAAAACCCTGTAAAATGCGCATCTTTGCTCTCTTTGTGGAAGGATTTTTATTTGTTATATACCATTAAAAGTTCCGTTTAATAAATTTTATTCTTACCCTTAGCCATTACGGTTTTATAAAAGCTTTCATTGCTTCACTTGGCTTTTATCCCAAATGACCCTATATTAATTAGTTTTCTTTTAATTACATTTAGTTAAAATGTTGTGGGGACCACACATACAATGACTGGCTAAATTTGAATCCACCTGTACCTCAATCTTGTTGTATCAAAACGAGCTGTGATACAAACGATGTCAGCAAAATTTACCAAGAGGTTTCAAATGTACTGGCTAATAATTAAATATATATGTTAAATGTTAATCTTTTAGGGCTGTTATGAAAAAGTAGTGGCATTTTTTAAAAATAATGTGAAATATCTTGCAGTCGGAATTGCCATATTAGCAGTCTTCCCTTTATTAGGAATAATTATCTTTTGGGGACTAGCTAGGGGTGGTAAAAAGTCAAATTATCAGCAAGTAAAGTAACAATCTAATGGTTCGTTTTCGTATGACTATCTTTTACGCAGGTAAACAACATTAATTATAATTTTAACAAAAGTGATGCTATTACTTTTTGAAAAGTCCTTGTACTGTGTTGTAAATAATTTGATTGAACCCTGTAAATATAGCTCTGTGGTATATTCCATAGTCTATAGAATATTTACCAAATGTCAATTCTACTTAACCTATTAAATTTTAACGTCATACATGTGGAACTGTAACGTTATAACTTATTTAAATTAATATTTGAGTTTAAATATTTTTAAATTAACTTATAAGATTAATGAAGTTATTGTGTTTGGCTTCAAAAATTCGTCATATAGGATTTGTATGTAGTAGTGAGTTTTGTTCAATTAAACGTGTCTGTGAAACTGCTGGTTTAGTGAAAAGTTTATTCACATCGACATCTTTAAATCAAAAGTGGGGCACGAAGAAGCAGCACAGAAACGTTAAATTGAAAATATTCTTGGAAGAAATGATCGATCCAAAGGTCGAAGAGGTTTTGGCCCCCTTAAGGGCCAGTGTTAAAGAACAGGTTAGTAAAATATGTTATTGTCTATTAGTTATTTTCTACAATATTCATATTCATTGCATTTTTAATTTTTAAGGGCGACTTGGTACGAAAATTAAAAGCAGATGGTGCACCTGCTATTGATGTCAAACAAGCAGTAGTAGAATTGAATAATCGTAAAAAGCTTCTTGAAGAGAAAGAACTTAGTCTTTCTCCTCACATAACTTTTGATAGAGCAAAAATGGAAGATCTGCTTAAAAGGAGGTTTTTTTATGATCAGTCTTTTGCTATTTATGGTGGAATTACTGGTCAATTTGATTTTGGTCCTATGGGATGTGCATTTAAAGCCAATTTGTTACATTATTGGAGGCAGTTTTTTGTTCTTGAAGAACAGATGTTAGAAGTTGATTGTTCAGCTTTGACACCAGAGCCAGTATTGAAGTAATATTTTTTTATAGTTTATCTTAATCAGCATTAATTCATTAAAATTTAGAGCTTCAGGTCATGTGGATAGATTTGCTGATTTAATGACAAAAGATGTAAAAACGGGTGAATGCTTTCGCTTAGATCACTTAATCAAATCACATCTTGAAAAGATTTCTGCTGATAAAAAAACAACTGAAGGAACTAAAGCAGAATGCAAAGACATAATTGTAAAGGTTTGAAATTTGTGAATTTTAAATATTCTTTGATTGTAATAGGTATATTTTTTCAATTTAGTTGGATGGTATGAACAAGGAAGAAATGCATGCAGTTATGAAAAAGTTTGATATGAAAAGTCCTCTTACTGGTAATCCATTGACGGAACCCATTGAATTTAATCTCATGTTTGCAACTCAAATTGGACCATCTGGTTTAGTGAAAGGGTAATTATGTGCCTTTTTTTATCATTTGGCAAATAAATTATCATGTACTATGTTTAATGATGCAAAGTTAGTATAGTGTAAAGTAAAAGTGCAAATTTTGCATTCAAGTTCAGGCTTGTTTTCTCAGGAGTTTAGCACCCCTGCTCTTTAATGATGTTCTTAATGTTTATTTATTTTGTTTTGGTGATTTATGAATTTATGTGCTAATAAATTTTACAGATTCTTAAGACCAGAAACAGCCCAAGGCATTTTTGTAAATTTCAAAAGACTTTTAGAGTTTAATCAGGGTCGGCTTCCTTTTGCCGCTGCACAAATAGGTAATAAAAAATATTGAATTTTATGCATCTGAAGATAGGGAATAACTTTTGTTCGGCTAGGTAATGCATTTAGAAACGAAATTTCGCCCAGATCTGGCCTTATACGAGTGAGGGAGTTTACCATGGCGGAAATTGAGCATTTCTGTGATCCTAGTGAAAAAAGTCATCCTAAGTTTGAAAATATTAAAGATATAGAATTACTACTTTATTCAGCATGCAATCAAATGGACGGTAAATCGGCTGAGAAGCGGAAAATTGGCGAAGCTGTCTCTGAGGTATTACTTTACTAAACAATTTTTTTGTGTCAATATTGTACTAGTAGCGCGATTCCTTAAAACAAATTTATTATAATTTGTAATTTTTAAGGGTTTAGTTGCTAATAAAACGTTGGGTTATTTTATGGTACGAATTCAGACGTTTTTGCATGATTGCGGCGTTGATCCTGCACGTCTTCGATTTAGGCAACATATGGGAAATGAAATGGCCCATTACGCCCAAGACTGTTGGGATGCCGAAATATTAACCAGTTATGTAAGTGTTGACTTTTGCAATTTCTATTGTAAATATTTTTTGAAGTAATTATTACAAAGTCCAAATACTAGTTGGATACGCACCTTCACCGCTTTCTATCGTTAACTAATCTTCGCATTTACCCAAAATTAGAACATCTCACACCCCTAATTAGTTGCAAGTAGTAATTTAATCTCTGCCCCTCTTCATCCCCGCTTCCGCTTCTATTCCTTTATGTTTTGAATCTACATCAATTTCTTTGGAGGAAATAATATAGAGTGCAGTCTGTATTATTTTTTTATTGTGTTATTGATGAAAAAGTAAGATTTAATTTTTAAGGGGTGGATAGAATGTGTTGGGTGTGCTGACAGGTCGGCCTTTGATTTGACCCAACATACAAAAGCAACAGGCATTAGATTGGCTGCAGAAAAGAAGTTGAATGAACCTAAAATAGTGGACGTGGTAGAATCTGTACCTAATAAAGGTGTCTTGGGAAAGAAGTTNTTATAAATTTACTTTCAGAGGATAGAAATTACTTTTATATCGAAAACAATAATTTCTTAATATACTTTCAGAAAACAGAAAATTTAACTAGTTTTGAATGTTATTGATAACTATTAAATTAAAATTATAGATCGACTAAAATTTTTCGTATTAAAATATAAGATCTGATTTTCGTCGTCAATTTTTGAAACTTTCGTTTAGCGTACCTATTCTTTCTTCGTTGCTAATTATTTTTAATTCTACAATATTGATTAATTAATTTTAATCTAAGTTTACTACATATTTAAGGGAATTAGAAAAGGTACTAGTATTATTATTAATTTATAATTACTAGTTAGTTTAAATTTGTAATTTAATTTTATTGTTATTTTATACGAAAGAAATTAATTACTATTCGGAGATGTACGTAATTATTAATTAGGTATTAAAATTTTTGAGTGTATCGCCTGTTCTCTATGAAATGGTAGGTGCATGAATCAATTAATTAATTAATATACGTGTTCAAGAATTTAAGACAAAATGAATATCCAAAGACCCGAAAATATTTTTTTTTAAAGAAGTACATACTGTCAAATACTTTTTAAAAAAATCAACTTATGCTTCTTTAACCGAGCACTTTCTTTTTCTTTTTTAAAAATGTTCTGGTATAACAAGAAATGGATTTTTACTAAAATTATTTTGGCATTGACGACCCTTTTGTTTTGAATATTTTATTTTTACTACAAATTTCCATCGGTTTTGTGTTGCGTATCAAAGTACAGTAATTATGACAAGGACCACGGACTTTTAAATTTTGAGAAGCTTTAATTAAATCTACTCTATTTAACTATCACGTGCTTTTTGATTTCAATGTCATAGTGTAGACGTAATTTAATAGGGTCCATACGTTTTGCCAATACCTAATCGTGATCGTGTCGAGAGATTTTTCGTTCCAAAATTGAAGGATTTAAAAGTCCCAAGGGAATCTTTTTATGACATTTTGCGTATTTGTATGGATTAAATATTATTTAGGATCTTATTATGAAGCAAGCCTAGGATAGTTTAAGTAAATAATATTGTGGAAAGTTGTAGAAAATTAAGCCATTTAATGATTGCTGTGTTTTAATTACTTTTTATGGTACCTATCAGACCAGGAATGGTAAATTTGATGGAATACGAGCGTTAACTACGAAAATATCAAAAATTGCTGAACAAATTTTTTATTTCGAAATTCGGATAGCTCTTGAACTCCTATACTTTTCTGTTTCCATTTGGTAGTAGTTTTTGGAACACCTTGTGCATAGAGTTCTAATTTTATATTAGCTAGTTTTTTAATTTTCCTCAAGTTCCGAAAATCACATTGAATTGTCTTTAATCGAGTGAAATGGCCAATGGAAATGACCATTAACAGTATCACGTGCTCGCGATGGCCAATTAGAAAGTTACCGTTTTGTTCTAGGTACTGGTGCCGAGTAAATTGTTGACAACAGGTTGATTTCTTCGGTTCGCCAGTCGTGTACCTCAGTGTGGAAGGATCGCGTCGATTTATCGCGAGTGTTTTCTGACTTGACCGTAACGATCGCGATTTTCCCGATCCGTTTTTCCTTATATCGAACGTGCGATTAGATATGGACCCGTTTTAAAACATTTCCTCTTACCTATCGACAGTAAATAGTTAACATTTTAACCGGACGTACGTATAAACTCGCGAAGTATCGAAGTTTTTAAAAGTGCAAGACATTTTTTTTGAATTTCTTAAAACAAAAAGTGTTTTACAAAAATGAGTTAATCATCATTTATTCCTCTTGGATGTTTCTGCCTTTGACGAACACCACCATGTCAATCTTTAAGGAGAGTAACAACAACTGGGTAAGTGATCTTCTTCTATTATCTTTTACCATAATTTGGACTAACATCAAGCAGATAAGTAGGTAGGTGATTTAATTAAATAAGCAAACGAATGTAATTTTGTAAGGTTCTTTTCAAAAGTAGTTCCACCGATATACCTTTATATGCACAAATGTAATGTTGAATATTCAGTTGTTTTTTTCTTCCTACCTACATAAAGTTTCCTAAGATCACGCGTCGTTTAAAAAACAACTGTTTTCCATTTTGCAGCGCATACGTCTACTAAATGTATAACAGAATTCCATGTGTCTCTTTTTCACGTGGATTAACATGCGATGTTTTCAATTTTATTCTGCACAGAATAAATAAATTATAACCTCCAACCGATTGCTTTTTCATAAAACAAGCTACTTTGTTTTGGATAATGCGATTTAGTTTTAAGTTTAATTTAGATTAATTTTTATCTAGTACACGGAGAAAATGAAAGGAAAATTTACCTAAATATTAAAGCGATATTTACAATTTATCCCACTTGCCCGTAGCTTCGTAAGCGAAAATAATAAAAATTACAATTTCGACCCGAATTTGTAAAAATAAAAAAAATTTAGTTGATATTACAAATTTAATTGTAGTAATTAAGGAACTTGAAATAATTTTTAAAGAAACATGTCAAAATTGAGATTATTACCTTACCTAATAAATTCTACTAATTCTACGACCAATTCAATCATTTGTAATTTTTGCGTTGTTATAAAAA